AAAAAATTTAAATCTTGCACTCTTGAAAATAAATAAGTGAAAACTAGAAGACTTTCCAGTCAGAAACTAGATAGGGAATTAGGCAGCTGCTGTCCTTGGTGATGAAACTGCTTCCTGTCAGTTCTTAAGGAAATCAACTAGTTAAAAAAAGTCCGGATAATTTTGAGTATACTGCTTGTAGCTACTGTTGGTATCTCCGTAAATCTATTTGAACTTGTAGAAAAATACAGACCCCTGTATCTTAATGTCTTGAGTTCCTGACTGCCAGGCAGAGGAAATGTTTAACTATTTTAATCATGTTTCTGTATCTCAGAAAGAAAGCCCTTCTGAGAGGAAATGACAATGTCCTACCACAAAGTTATCTCTTATCAGTTACAGTCTCAGTCGATAATGATTTGTCAAACTTGGACATGTGTAAAATGCAAGGCCTGTGTTATTTACTTTGGAAAGGAAAAATTAGATGACGCTGATAAAGAAAGGAGTCATGGCTTTTGTTAAGAGACAGACACCATTAGAGACAGTCATTGTTAGCTTAGGAAAGTGTCCTTGGACCACTCCCTTGGCCCCTAGCTGAAACCTAAACCTGCTGGAACCGTTCTTTGCAACGTCAGGGGAAGAAGAATGGAGACAGCTTTGACAGAGATGTAGCATTTTAAAGGGTGAGCAAAGAGTGGGGCCTTTAAACAGACCTATTTATGGGAGTCAGGAAAAACTGCCTTTTGTTCTAGTGCTCTTCCCTTGCCCCCATTTATTTAGATTTTTGAAAGTCCAATTTTCATCCTCTCCAACATGTAGCATTCCTTCACGTAGAGTGTGTTGCTCTTCTCCTTTCACCTTTCTGTAGATGTGATTCTTTTTTTATTAGTAGAAGCAGAGAAAACACATCTCACTCAAAGCAACATGAGTCAGTGCATACTTCACATACCTTTATCCTCACAGCACTCCCCTTGGGGGGAAGGCACATCCTAGTGTTTCTCACAGAAGGGAACCTAGAAGAAAAAAAAGATTTCTAAATATCCGACTATTTTTGGAGTGGGTGTAGGAATTGTGAACTGAAGCCCCATTTGCCCACGCTCTGCTCGTCTATATTTCTTTGTATTGCTATCAAAGTGGACAGTCATGGGCTTAGGGGGATTTAGCTAGATGATGGTCTCAGAGGCCAAGAAGGCACCGAGCAGATCCTCGCTACGTATTCAAAGGTCTTAGAACAGTGTGAGCTGAGTGTCCCTCACAGAGAATAGGTTTGGTTGTCAGGACTTGGAGATGTAGGCGAGGGTTTCCTTGCCTCTGTAAAGAGCACCATGTTAGTGTCTTAGTAACCAAGCATCTTTATCTTTTAAGGTGCCCCTTAGCTTATACCTCATAAATGTCCTTGCATGTCCATTCTATAAGGGTTGTTCTGACATGTGAGAAGGATCAGGATCTGTATATGAAGAATAGCTATGGGGGCAGTTTCCCTTTGAGAGCAACTATGACTCTGAGTAAAATAAATAAACTGCAATGAAAAGAACATTGAAGCAAAGTTCTGATTGGATTTGTTTTTCAAGATCAAGTAAGAGCATGTTCTTTGGTGTTTTTTTTGTATTCACAGATATTTATGCTAAGTTTAGATAATTGATTTTAAGTGAAAAAATGGCATTTTCTGTACAGATCAAAATTTAAAAACATCTGTTTCCAAATGTTTTAAGAATATATAGTTTATAGAGCATG